AAAAAAAAATCAAAGTAGATAAGATATTTTTTTTAAAATATTATATTTCTATAAAATAATTCTTCTAATGAAACGTTTAGACAACAGGTTATTTAAATTTATTAGCAAACTTCATAGATAATCTAACACATGGTGCAGCTATTGGTGGAGGTTTTGCTGTGAATTCATTAGTGGGAATGACAACACTTGCTGGAATTGTAATTCATGAAATTCCACATGAAATGGGAGATTTTGCTATACTTTTAAAATCAGGTTTTAATCGTTGGGAAGCAACAAAAGCTCAACTTATAACTGGTTTAGGAGGAGTTTTAGGCGCTGTAATGGCACTTTATTATTCAAGTTCAAGTCATAGTAAATTTTATTTCATTTCAATTACAATTTCAATTATGATTTTATTTTATAGGTACTTTATGGGTATTACCTTTTACTAGTGGTGGTTTTCTTTATGTAGCTCTTGTTAAAACAGTACCGGATTTATTAAAAGAAAATGATTTATCGTAAGTGGTATTTTTTTTGTTTGCTTTTAGTATTATGAAATATTGCATTTTTTCTAAAAAACTCTAGACATTCATTTCGACAATTTATTGGTATTATTGGAGGACTTTCAATAATATATTTTATTGTTCTTTATATTGGATAAAATTCTTTATTTATTTTATTCTTTTACACTTCTAAGCGATGACAACGTTTTTTTTCTTTTATTTTATTAGATTGATTTATTTTTCTCTTCTTTTGTTTTATAATTTTAAAAATTAAGTGACATTTCGAATATAATTAGTAAATTCACAAAAATAAATGACAGAAATCAAATTTATTTTATTTATTTAAAAGATTAAATTTATAATAGATTAAATTATATCATCTATGCATATATTTCACGAGATAAATTAACATATGCAGAGATTTTTATGATCATATCAATCAAGTAATTCAAACACTAATTTAACTTAACTTGAATTTTTGAAAAAGAAAGCCATCGACTTGATTATGTAAACGATGATTTTTAGATAAAAGATGTATTGCACAAATGAAAGAATGCTTAGTATTGATCTATATTTCATGTTTTTATTAATTGCCAATTAATCTTAACTATTAACTATTAAAAATAAGAAGATACATAACATTGATTTATATTCAAAACTGAAAATCTATATAATTTTTTTTTGGTATTCTAATTTATGATCTAAGTTGTTTTTCAATAGTAATTTTCAAGAAATTATTCTTGTCCATATTTGTCTATAAAATTCTGTAGATAATTTAGCATTTATAGAAAGAAATTAGATTTGATGTTGAAAATTCTCATTAAAGTGAACTATTATTTTATCTTGTTTCACAAATAAATGTAATACATAGTTTTCATCAGTTATGTTATCGTTGAAATCTTTAATACATCTATACATAGAATATAAAAATCTACACTTATTTAGCTATAACTATACCAAAAGAAGAAGAAATAATTTAGAAAGATAATGACATTTATTAATGGATGGGAAAGGGAATCCTGTGAATCATAAGAATCTTCTAAAACTCATTGTCCTTTTTTAAATAGAAATCAGCATATTTTGAGAAATAAAAATAGATATTGATACATCGTAGTAAAATTTTGTAAATTTTAGAATTTCTCCATGGAATTTTTATACTCCGAATCTAATATCTCCAATATAATTATATAATGAAAATAGTTATTAATGGAAAGTTTGGTATTATATGTCTTCTATCAATAATAAATATATTCTAATTATAATTTTCATGTTGTGTATACATATCAGATGTGGTACGTATGAAGATTGATACCATCAGCATTTTGTCGATATTTTCGTTAAATCTCATCCGTTTCGTTTGATCTTTGTTTTAAGAGATTTGCGTTACGATGCTGTGCAAAACTACAATTTTTTATTTGCTTAAAAAAACGCCATTGTTCTTTGACAATCGATAGAAACGATTAGTCCAAGGTCAGCAAATTTATTTCAGATGCAGTAGTCAAGTGGCTTACGATCGGGACTGTTCGAAGGCTAATAATCTTCTTCGTAAATGCTGACAATTTATTATGGCACTACTATTTAAGTAAGACAATGAATATGAAATGTTGCGCTAACTTGTTGTAAAGTCCAGTCACTGATGACCCTCTGTTACTAGGGCTGAGAGTCATTAGAAGAATCTCATTAATGTGCTAATTGTGATTGACGGATTCATTGTCTAAAATCGCAAGTGGCTTTATACCGTTAGAACAGAAACTAAGCCAGACTATAACTTTCGTGGGAACGTACACCGTTACTTTCTTCAGCCCCTATCATCTGATTCGCTTTGACTACTATCTTATATTGTATGGTTGAAGATGAAAATCATCTTTGAAAATACGCCGTAAATTTCGATCAGACATTTAACATTCGCTAGCTTCTTCTGTTTCAATCGAGTCAATGTCATAGATCACTATGCATCACCGTTCTGATTACAAAACATTTTAACCGAATTATCCTCGTATTCATACTTAGAATGAACAAATTCTCAATAGTTTTAGATGGTTTTGTGTAGTATTTCAAAGCGAATCTTTCAAAAAAAGAGATTAAATGAAGTGAATGAGATATGGTGGAGATGGCATCCTTCTTTATGCTGCATCCAATATATACATTAAATAAATTAATATTTACTCAGTTGTTTATTAATTTATGCTTTGTTTCATTATCATAAGGATACCCACTGTTCATTTTTGTTGAATTATTATATAATAAATAAGCAGGATTTATTGTGATTTCTATTACTATTATTTTTATGTTTATTTAGTTCGAACGATACTGAATATATTTTGGAACATGCTGTAATTTTATTAGTTTTGAAATAGTTCGACTATAATAAAAGATAAAATTTTTTGTCATGATGATACAAATATATTAAATGATAAATATCTCCTTTAAATCTACGTTTTATTTGTTTATTGAAGATAAAAAGAAGAAAAAAAGGATTACTCCGCGGCGGGGAATCGAACCCCGGTTTCCCGCGTGACAGGCGGGGATACTAACCACTATACTACCGCGGACATTCTATTTTTATCAAATAGATCTAAATAATATAAACATTTTAAATGACTTTAAAAGTGTAATTAGAATAAATTCATCGAAGGAATTTTAGTAAGAAAACAAAACATGGATAAGAAATACTAAAAGGCTAGTGAGTATGAACTATCAGATCATAAAAAAACGGCAACGTAAACGTCCATAAAGGATGTAAACTGATGTTTTCTCGTTGACGTAATCCAGCATTCCATACACAAAACAGTAAAAATAGTGTGAAAAACGGTAGCCGTTTTCGATGGTCGAAACGATCGTCGTGACAGATCTCTTGTCAAAATACTGATGAAAACCTAGTAAGATTTAATTGACTGTTTTACTATTATTCATATTTTACTAAATCATAGTCTATTAACATAAGAAGTACCTAATTTTGAAAATATTAAGATTTAAAAAAGATTTATTTTTGTTAATTGTTTATGGTTATATGAGGAATCGGATTTTTGTAACTTCATTATTTAAAGAAAAAAGTTATATCTATTAGCGTATAAAGCTTGCAAAATATTCGAAAAACTGATAAGCCTTTTCTTAGTATGATTTTCAGTTAAACATATCTATAAATACATCAAAAATTCAAAGAAAACTATCCAATGTCTTGATGAAGTCATTGAAGGTTCTCCTTTCAGAAATGATTTCACGCTTAGAATAGTCCTTTTGGGGTCAAATTGTCAGAGATAGATGATTCTAGTGAGATACACTTCTGGTAAATGTTTTGGCCCAATTTTTTGTATTAGATCGGGTTTTAACTGATTTATAGATCACTTTTGACCAGTAGAAGATTTGATGAAACTTCATTGTAACACGAGATCTCGAGTTCAGACGGCTTTAGATTAAAGCCAATATCAGTACGCAACTTTAATTCGAACAGAATTTTTATATTCAATCTCATTGGTTTTTTATGACCATTTAAGTAGAAGGGGATTTCAAAGCCACATGAAAAAATGATGACCCAATGAGAGTAAATTCCACTTTTCTTTGGTCAGAAACGAACTATTAAAAAATTCGTTCGGATGAAAATTTTACTTCCATTGAAACCTTTAAAAATCGAAAAACATTGTAACAGAGCTCCAACCTCTTCATAAATTTCGAAAATGACGTAATTAGACTGTTCTATTATCTCTTGCGACAGAAATGTTTACTGTTCCAAATTCTCTTACTATTCTCTATTGAGAAAGGTTTCTTTCCGGATATCTGTTATAGTTGACGATGAACGTGAAAATCTAGCTTGAGATGTTTGTTAATCGTCTCGCAAATTTGAATAAGCGCATAAAACTACACGAAAATCAAATGATCAAAGGCTTTAATAAATATTCGACATTACATTTTCTTCTTTTTGTTAGATAAAATCATCACGTGATATTAATTATTTTGGTATTTTTGTTGTGAAAATATCAATTCGTCAAGAAAAATATGTCTAAGTGGCATTGGTTCGATTATTTGACAAAGTAGACCCACCTCGAAATGATAAGATGGGTGGGTGTGGGTGTGAGTACATATTCATCTCATACCATACCCAAACCCAAATACCATCGTGAACACAAAATCTATTTTTTGTTAAATGTTTAAGTGATGATAGAACTTGTTCTTTTTTTAATTAAAAACTTGCTTTCTTTATTTTACTTTTGATTTTATGTATTAACAAACTATGATTGATACTTCGGGGTTATCAGAATCTAATTAAAAATCTATAGCTAGTTGTTAATATTCCAAGGCTTTACTATAATCATATTGCTCTTGGGGAACACAAGCAATATTAATATGTAAGTGGCTATGTGCGCTAGAGTGTACATAGTCACTTCCCTTCAAATAGCTATAGGTGGATAGAAAGATTCGAATAAGATTTTTCTCCCAAGAAACAATGTCTTAGTTAATATTAACTGTTTGCTCAGGGAAAACTAGATCTGGGAGATAATATGTTCTAATGGATTTTTCCTCTTGCGATTTCTAATAGTTTCAATGCACAACTGATGAAATAAAAAAAATGAATGTACCACTTTTCATTGAATTCCATATGGAATATTCTATTAATTATATAACTATAACTTAATTTAGTTTATCTTCTAATCATAGATACAATCGGCCTTTAATTTTTAGGAAAGTCTCATTTTTTCGCTGTATTTACGCTATGAGTGAAAAGAGAAGAAGCATTGTTTGTTTGCATAGACATTAGACAGAATTAAAAAATCTCTTTATTTAAAAACATAGCCAATCAATCTTAAACCAATCTCTTGAAGAATTTTTATCAATCTTAGTTTCATCTATAAAATCAAAAATCTAGCTATTTTTACATCCCTTTCACTGGTTCTATTAAATTTTACTTAAGAAAATCTTTAATAAAATATTGCTAATAATACATTTTGATTGATATTATATTATGTATGAAACTGTGAAAATCTATGATAATAAAACGTATACATCGATGAAAATTTTAATTATGTTTTAATCTGAATCCTATAAAAACAAAATCTAAATGAATTGAATATACAAATAATTTATTAATTAAAAAAAATCAAAAACTCTACTTGGTTTTATATACAAAATGAAAATGAAAATAAAATTTTGATTGTTAGTTTTA